GAGAGAGGGGAGCGTTGATCGTTACAGGGTAGGAGGAAGAGAGAGGGGAGCGTCGCGCGTTACAGGGTAGGAGGAAGAGAGAGGGGAGCGTTGATCGTTACAGGGTAGGAGGAAGAGAGAGGGGAGCGTCGCGCGTTACAGGGTAGGAGGAAGAGAGAGGGGAGCGTTGCGCGTTACAGGGTAGGAGGAAGAGAGAGGGGAGCGTTGATCGTTACAGGGTAGGAGGAAGAGAGAGGGGAGCGTCGCGCGTTACAGGGTAGGAGGAAGAGAGAGGGGAGCGTCGCGCGTTACAGGGTAGGAGGAAGAGAGGGGAGCGTCGCGCGTTACAGGGTAGGAGGAAGAGAGAGGGGAGCGTTGCTCGTTACAGGGTAGGAGGAAGAGAGAGGGGAGCGTCGCGCGTTACAGGGTAGGAGGAAGAGAGAGGGGAGCGTTGTGCGTTACAGGGTAGGAGGAAGAGAGAGGGGAGCGTCGCGCGTTACAGGGTAGGAGGAAGAGAGGGGAGCGTTGTGCGTTACAGGGTAGGAGGAAGAGAGGGGAGCGTTGATCGTTACAGGATAGGAGGAAGAGAGAGGGGAGCGTTGATCGTTACAGGGTAGGGGGAAGAGAGAGGGGAGCGTCGCGCGTTACAGGGTAGAGGGAAGAGAGAGGGGAGCGTTGATCGTTACAGGGTAGGAGGAAGAGAGAGGGGAGCGTCGCGCGTTACAGGGTAGGAGGAAGAGAGGGGAGCGTTGATCGTTACAGCGTAGGAGGAANATATATATATATATATATATATATATATATATATATAAGCATACTTATAAGTGCACATGCGTTAAGTCCATTACTCACTATAAGGTATTGCTTCGAAGATTTGACTAAATCACACGTGTTATTGAATAATAAATACTTACTTATACAAATGAGTGTACATGTGTTCAGGATAGTTACTCACTCAAAAAACACATACAACAACAACAACAACAACAACAACAACACAAACAACATACGATTAGGTAAGAACATTCTACGGAACATTCTGACGTCTCTTCCCCCCCCCCCCACACTTCTCAGGTTTCTCACCTTACATACTGTTACCATGAACATGAGCATGCTTACACACACACGTGCGCTCGCGATACTTAATACTTCATTACTTGCGTAAGATGAAGCGCCATGCTGAGATTTTTCTCGGCAGACACCCGCAAAAATTCCCCGATAAATCCTCTTAGCGTGGAATTAATAATACAAGGCCTGTATCGGGGGCCGTAGCCTTAATATCCACGTGTCAGGCGTATGCGGGAGGCGTAGCCTCTATCGCACGGCGCCCGCACACACTGTCAACGGCCTGTATCGGGACTGCGTAGCCTCTCATCCACGGTGTCCAAGGCCTTGTATCGGCGGGCGTAGGCCTCTATCCACGGTGTCAAGCGCCTGTTATCAGGGGGGCCGTTAGCCTCTATTCCGGTAAGGACTGTCAAGCTGTATCGGAAGTGACGTAGCCTCTATCCACCGGTTGTCAAGGCTGCTATCGGGGGCGCGTAGCCTCTATCCCACAGGTCGGTCAAGGCCTGTAATCGGATGCGCTGAGCCTCTATGCACTGGTGTCAAAGGTCTGTATCGGGGCCGTAGCCTCTATCACGGAACTGCGCGTATGTCAGAGGCCTGTATCGGTGCCGGATTAGCCTTATCCAGCGGTGTCCAAGGAGCCTGTATCGGGGGCCGTAGCCTCTATCCACGGTGTCAAGGCCTGTATCGGGGGCCGTAGCCTCTATCCACGGTGTCAAGGCCTGTATCGGGTGCCGTAGCCTCTTCACGGCCCTGTCACAGCCCTGTATACGGGGGCCGTAGCCTCTATCCACAGGATTTCAAGCTGTAGCGGGCCGTAGCCTCTTTCCGACGGATAGTCAGGCCTGTATCGCGATGCCGTAATTAGCCCTATCCACGTGTTCAAGGCCTGTATCGGGGGCCGTAGCCTCTATCCACGGTGTCAAGGCCTGTATCGGATGCCGTAGCCTCTATCCACGGTGTCAAGGCCTGTATCGGGGGCCGTCAGCTCTTATCCACGTGCTCAAGGCCTGTTACTCGGATGCCGTTAGCCTCATCCACGGATAGTCAAGGCCTGTATCCGCGGCGGAGCTCTATCCACAGTCGTTCCCTTCAACCTAAGCCTGTATCGGATGCGAGCTTATCACGGTGTCATAAGGCCCCCCCCCGGCTCACCTCTTCCTCCTCTGGCACGGCTGAGGAGGTGCCGCACCCACGCGCCCACCCCGCGCCACCTCTTCCTCTCCTGGGACGGCGCTTGAGGGAGGTCCGCACCCCCGCTCACTCTTCCTCCTCCTGGAGACCTTGAGGGAGGTGGCCTCCCGCAGCGGCCCCACCCCCATCACCTTTCCTCCTCCCTGACAGCTTGAGAGAGGTGCCTCCCCCCGCGGCCCTCCGCCCGCTCACGCTTTCCCCTCCTGGACGGCTGCTGAGGGAGGTGTCTCCCCCGCGCCCCACCCCCCGCTCATCCTCTATCCTATGCCTGGAGGCTTGAGGAGGTGCCTCCCCCGCGCCCCACACCCCGCTCACTCTTCCTCTCCTGGACGCTTGAGGAGAGGTGCCTCCCCCTTCGCCCACACGCCCGCTACCTCTTCCTCTTCTTGGACGGTTCGAGAGAGGTGCCGCCCCCGCGCCCACCCCCGCTCACCTATTCTCCTCCTGGTGACGTGCTTAGGGAGGTCGCCACCCGCGAACGGCCCCCCCCCCCCACACCCCCGCCTCACCTCTTCCTCCTCATTGGACGCTTGACGAGGAGGTGCCTCCCCCCGCGCCCCACCCCCCGCCTATCTCTTCCATCCTCCTGGACGCTGAGAGAGGTGCCTCCCCGCGCGGCCCCCTCCGCCCCGCTCACGCTTCCTCCTCCTGGACGGCTCTTGAGAGAGTGCCGCCCCACGCGCCCCACCCCCGCTCACCTCGTTCCCTGCTTGAGACGGCGCTTGAGGAGGATGCCTCCCCGCCGCCCCCCCCGTTCACCTCTTCACTCTCTTGGATTCCTCCGTCTTGGACGGCTTGAGGGAGGTGCCTCCCCACGCGCCCACCCCCCGCTCACCTCTTCCTCCTCTTGGACGGCTTGAGGGAGGTGCCTCCCCACGCGCCCCACCCCCCGCTCACCTCTTCCTCCTCCTGGACAGCTTGAGGGAGGTGCTGCCCCACGAGCCCCACCCCCCCGCTCACCTCTTCCTCCTCCTAGACGGCTTGAGGGAGGTGCCGCCCCATGCGCCCCACCCCCCCGCCTCACCTCTTCCTCCTCTTGGATGGCTTGAGGGAGGTGCCGCCCCACGCGCCCCACCCCGGCAACGTT